GGGATGCCGCGGGGGTCCTGCAGCTCTCCATCGCGGCGCCGAGGGTCTAACCCAGCCCAGCCTAACCAATGTGCAGACTACTGTACAATTCGGGAGTCCTGAACAGATAGTCTAAACACTGGGTAGACGGAGTGGAGGTGTCCTCTGGTCCATCCGGCAGCAGCGTCTGTCCGTCTGTAGGAACTTCGGCCTCATATCCTGGAGATCCGAGGCCCCCCCAGCCCCAGCCCAGCCAGCCGCAGTACCCTCTCTGCTCCCGTCTCCCCTTCTGCCTCCTTTGACGTGGCAGGGGTGAGCGGGAGCTGGGGCTGGGAAGGAGGGGCCTGGGGAGGGGGCTGGCCTGCAGGAAGGGAGGGTTTGGGAGAAGAGGCCGCTCCTACCTAGTGTCCAACCCCGAAGCGCAGCGCAGGGTGGTGGCAGCAGGGCCTCCCTCGAATGGTTCCAGATGTTCCCTGGCCGTGTGTGCAACTTCCTCCTCTCCTCCCCCAGCCGCCCTCTGGGGCTCCCGGCCACCCGCCTGGCATAAAGAGAGCTTTATGTGGCTGCACAGGCCAGGCAGTGGGGGTGTAGGGGGGACAGGAGGATGCCAGAGTGGGGGAGCAAGATCTCCCTTGAACTCAGCCCCCACCTGAGATCCTAAGCAAGACTTACAGCCCAAGCCCTCTGTGTCCAGAGACCCACATGGACCCCTCACACAGGTCATGTGGCCCTGGATAGGCAAGTGAGGTACAGGCAGCAGGAACCGCCGCCCCCTTCCTCCTGGAATCCTGTCCTGGGGTGTCTCTTCAGATCCCCAAGCCTCTTCTATGGGCCACAGCAACCTACAGATGCATGTCAGCCCACACCCGGTACACGCCGTGTGCACATGAGCAAGCACCCCAGATGCGTGTCCGCAGACACATGTGACTCTCCCAGACAGCTCTGGACGCCCACACGCACAAAGCCCACATGCAAACCGTGTGCAGGTAGACGTGTGCGCCAGAGCACACGTCCCACAGGTGTGTCTGTGCCGCAGTCGCCAGACACAGCCAGGGTGTGGCATCTGCCACACAGACGTGCTCGCTGACACATAGCTGTCCACTTGCGACGCTGGGCCGCTCCCCAGAAACATGTACATTCACACACCTGTACGCACACATAGGCACACGAGCGCGCACATACAATGGGTTTGCATGTGCTTGCACAAACACACGTTGCACACCATCTCTGGGCTTGTGCTATTGCCTGATGGCTTACACATGGGTGTCGAGGGGCGGGGGGTGTAGGGGTGGGCCAAGCCAGCCCTTTGAAGCTGGCGGCAGCCTTTTGAAGCTGCCGGGACTGGCGGGGGGCCCCCCTTCTTGGTCTCTGCAGTCAGGAAATGAAGTCAGAGGCGGCCAGGCCGGGGTGGTGGGGGTTGGGGGGAGTCTCGAGGGCTCTGTCCGTCCGTACTCCGCCAGCCTGACTGGGATCTAGGACTTGCTTAGGGTGGGCTGTGGGAGCCACACTCAGCCCCCTGGGCTTCGGGGTATATGCAGAAAGGGTGGCACTGGCTCTAACGCCCAGGAGCGTCTGGTGCTCCGCCAGTAGAGGGCCCCGTGAGCAGGCATTTCTCGGGCAGTACCTGAGCGTGGGAGGGGCCGCCCCGGGTGTCCACAGCCCCAGGTGCCCACCCCTGCGGCAAACCCTTAGGGCGTGAGGTGTGGTGGAGAACAGTGCAATCTCCCTTACGGCTCGTGTCTCTCCCGCAGGAGAAGGAGAAGAAGTACATGCTGTCCGTGGACAACCTGAAGCTGCGCGACGTGGAGAAGGGCTTCATGTCAAGCAAGCATATCTTTGCCCTCTTTAACACGGAGCAGAGGTGCCTGCCCGCCCCAGGCCGGCCCGCCCCACACCACCTCAGGAACGCCCCAGGCCCACAGCAGGCCTTCAGCTATTTATTTGTTCTAGTTTGCGAAAGAGAGGAGAAGGGCTCTCCCCCTAGTCTCCCAGCCAGCCAGGGTGACCTGGGATCTGAACCCTGGGCTTTCCCTGTGGCTGCTGCTCTCCCTGTACCACCTGACCGAGTCTCTGCTCTGTGCCAGACCTGTCAAGGCCTCCTCTCTCATCCTCTCCCCTCCCTTCTCCTTCCCACCTTCTTTCCCTCCTCCCCTCCACAGTCATCGCTTAGTCCCTGAGCGGCATGAAACGCTGCCAAACACTGGGGACAGACGAGGAAGAGCCCTCGTCAAACCTGGACCCTCTCATTTGCACAGTTCCCCGTGGGGTGGCGGCCTCTCACTTCCCAGTCCCAGGCTGACTCTGGTGGGCTCTCCCCTAAAGGCAAGCTGCTATGAGGGGTCTTCAGAGAGCCAGGGGTAGAGCTGATGGGGGTCCAAGACCCAAGCCAGTCCCTTTCTAAGCATTTCACTGCTCATTTTACCAAATCCTCACAATGGCCCTAGGAGACAGGAATTATTATTAACCCATCTTCCAGTGAGGAAACCGAGGCCTGAAGAGAGGAAGGGTCTTGCCCAGGGCCTCAAAGCTAAGAAATGAGAAAGCCAGTGCTGGACCCAAGCATGCCCTTAACCCCTAAGGAGGGTGGGCTTTGCCCCATCTCCCTTCACGGCCTGTCCCATCTTATAGGAATGTCTACAAGGATTATCGGCAGCTGGAACTGGCCTGTGAGACACAGGAGGAGGTGGACAGCTGGAAGGCCTCCTTCCTAAGGGCTGGCGTGTACCCTGAGCGTGTTGGGGTGAGCCTCAGGGCAGGGAGGGGAGGGGAAAGCTGCCAAACAAGAGAGTTCCTGGGCACCATCTTCAGTGATGCCAAGTCATGCCATGTTCCCGAGCCTTTATTCGGCTCAGAAATAGCAGGAATTGGGACCAGCAGTTAGCATAATGGCTATGTCACTGGACTCCCATGTAGTTGACCACGGTTCGAGTCCCAGACCCAGTGGCTTAAACTCACGCCAGGCACATGTGTGTGCGTGCCCAAGATCCCGAGAGGAGAATGGAGGAGAAGGGATTGTGGCATGGCCATCCCCTCTGGGGGGTGATTTCTTGCTTTCTGTCTCTGTCTGGTGAGCGCATGCACCCTATAGCAAAAAACAAAACAAAACAAAACAAAAAACACCTCTCCAAAAAGAAAAGAAAAAGAAATAGCAGGAATCGGGGCCAGCAGATGGCGTGGTGGTTATGTCACCAGACTCCCACGTGGCTGACTGCAATTCAAGTCCCGGACTGGATGGCTTGAAAATCACACTGCATACCCAGGAGGAGAAGGGAGCCCAGGAGGAGAAGGGATTGTGGCATGGCCATCCCCACTCGGGGCATTTCTCACTTTCCCTCTCACTGTCTGTCTCTCTCTCCAGCAAGCACACATGCCCTATGGCAAAAACCTCTAAAAAAAGAAAAAAGAAATAGCAGGAATTGAGCCATCTAGTAGCATGGTGGCCAAGGTGGCTGGATTCCACACGGCCAACTGCAAGGTTCACGTCCCAGAGCCGGCAGCTTAGAAAACACACTGGGCACTTCTGTGTGTGTGCTCGAAATCCTGAGAGAGGAATTGAGAAGGAATTATGGTGTGGCTCTCCTCCCGGAGGGTGCCTCACACTCTCTCTCTAACTCTCCCTGACAAGCACACGCACCCTTTAGCGAATTTTTTTAAAGAATTATTTTATTTAACTTTATATATTTACTTATTTATTTTTAATTTGACCAGAGACGGACAGAGTGAGAGAGAGGAGAGTGAGGGAAAGTGAGAAAGCAAGCACCACATCCAGAACTCGAACTTCAATTGGCCATGTGGGAGTCCAGCACCCTTAACCACCACGCCACCTGCTGGTCCCCCGTTAGCAAATTTTTATAAGAAATGCCAGGAATCCTTCCCCCGCCTGTCCTGAGTGGGCTGAGTTAGGCTCTGGTCTCCCATCCTTCGCCAGGAGCAGTGTTCTGTGCCCTCTTCTCTGATGGCATTTCCTACATTCCCTTCCTACAGTGGGGGTTTCTTGCTTTCTTTTTTTTTCTTTTCTTTTTTTTTTTTTTTTGGGGGGTTTGGGCACATGCGCTCACCAGAAAGAGAGAGAGACAAAGAGACAGAAAATGAGAAATCATCCCCTGGGGGGATGACCACATTGCAATCTCTTCTCCATTCTCCTCTCGAGACCTTGGGCACACATACACATGTGCCCCGCATGAGTTTAAGCCACCAGTTCCAGGATTCAAACCATGGTCGACTACATAGAAGTCCAGCAACATAGCCATTATGCCAACTGCTGGTCCCCAGTGGGGGTTTCTTATGACCACCTTCTCGTTCCTCCCCTCTTCCACTGCAGCAATGTCTAGACTTGCCTTAGTGTTGGGGTGCGGTGCTCCAGTTCACTCATCCCTCTCCTTTTCCCTCTCTGTGTGTGTCTGCTTCGGCTGTGCTTCCCGGTGGCGGCGGTGGTGGCAATGCTGGCGTGGTGGCCTCTGTGGTGTTGATGTGGGCCTCCCAGGACAAGGAGAAAGTGAGTGTGCCCCCCCCCCGCCTCCAGCCAGGTGTCTGCAGCCTGGTATCTGCTCTGGTCAGGTCTTCTAGCAAGAGACCTGGAAGACATCCTCTGCTTTCTGGATTAGGAACCTGAGGCAAACTAGGTGCTAGAGGCTAAGCCGAGTCAAGACTAAATAAGAGGAGCCCGGGGTCCTGGCAGGCCCAGGGGTGGGCAGAACCTGAGACCTTCTAGATTGTGTGGGGAGCTGGGTGCCTGTGTTCAGGCCAGTTGCCTTCTGTCTGCCTCATATTCCAAGTACCTCGAAGGGCCTGAGACCCTGGAGGTGCCCAGAGCCACCCTGGTGCTCTTCTGTTCCCCACTGCAGGCGAGCGAGACCGAGGAGAACGGCTCAGACAACTTCATGCACTCCATGGACCCACAGCTAGAGCGGCAGGTGGAGACCATTCGGAACCTGGTGGACTCATACATGGCCATCGTCAACAAGACCGTTCGGGACCTCATGCCTAAGACCATCATGCACCTCATGATCAATAACGTGAGTGCAGGGCCACGAGGGCGGGGCTCCCGTGGCAACAGGCTTGATAATGTGGGCTGATTCCATAACTTTCCATTTTCCAATAGCTATGTTGAAAGAGGTAAAAGGAACAAAATTAATCTTAATAATGTATGTCTTAAACTCGCTATATCCAAAATATTATCTTTTCAACAGTGAATCAATCAACTCAAAATATTAACAAACTTAAAAAAATTTTTTTGGCATTAGAGCATTGCTGGAGAGAGACAGAGAGAGAGAGAGAAGGAAAGAGAAATCACCCCCTAGTGGGATTGGCTGCACCACAATCCCTTCTTCTCATTCTCCTTTCAGGGTTTTGGGTTGCACACACTCCATCAAGACACCAGGTCAGGACTTGAACCTCGCATTTGGTCAGGTGGAATCCAGTGCCTTAACCATCACGCCACCTGCTGGCCCTTAACAAGATATTTTATGTACTTTTCTTTATACTAAATTTTCCAAATCTAATTCAGACATTGAACTTTCATTGGCAAACTTATTCTGAACTGAGATTTCCTGAAGTTTATAGTTGCAAAAGTAGATTTGCATACTCAAGTTGTTCTGAATATGCTTAAATGTTTTCCAGGAAGGGGGGAAGTGGCATGATGGTTAAGGGCACTGGTCTCCCACATGGTCAACTGCAATTCAAACTGGCAGCTTGCTTTCTCACCTTCCCTCTCTCTGTCACACACTCTCACTCTGTCCTTCTCTGGTCAAATCAAAATAAATAAATAAATAAATAAGTAAAATAAAGTTTAAAAAAAAGGTCTTCCAAAAGGGACCCGGAATCTGTATTTTTGAGATCATGCTTTGAAATACACACCTAACAGTATCACCATAACTGGTGGCTTAGTGAAAGAGTGGGTGCCCCCTGCCCCCAGAAGTACAATAGAACAGGTTTGAACCCTGGCTTTGCCATGAATTCCTGTGTGTTTCAGCCTCTGATCATTGGCTGAATCAGCCTTTTCCTTACATGTGAAGTATAACCAGAGAGTTGAGGATTAAATGCATATAGTACAGCCACACGACGCCTGGCACAGCCAATGCTTGACATGTGATGGAATAATGAATGAGACTTGGGAACCAGCCCATGGCCTGCTAGTTAAGGGAGCTGGATCTCAAACAGTCAACCATACAGTTTGAGTCCTGGACCCAGAAGTTTGAAAAACACACTGGGCACGTGTGTACACATGCCCCAAATCCAGAAAGGATGGGGAGACAAAGGAACTGTGACGTGATCACGCCCCATGGGATTTGCTTTCTCCCTCTCTCTGTCTGTGTCTCTCTGACAAGCACATGTATCCTCTTGGGGGAAAAGGATGCTTAATTTTTTTTTTTTAAATGAGACTCAAGGCCAGTAAATGGCATAAGTCATGTCGCTGGACTCCCACATGACTTACCATGGTTTGAGTCCCAGATCGGGTGGTTTGAAAATCACATTGGGCATGTGCGCATGCGTGCCCAAGATCCCAAGAGGAGAATGAAGAAGGGATTGCGGTGTGCCATACCTCCAGGGTGGGGGTGATTTTTCACTTTCCCTCTCACTGTCTGTGTCTCTCTCTCTCCCTGGCAAGTGCATGTGCCCTAAGACAAAAACTTCTTTAAAAAAAAGAGAGAGAGATTCTGGTGAGCTGGTGGCATGGTAATTAAGTTAGCTGGATCCCACGTGGCAGAGTGTGAGGTTCAAGTCCCCAGCCTGGTGGCTTGAAAAACACACCAGATATATGTGCACACTTGCCCCAAATCCCAAGAGGCCAATGGAGAAGGAATTGCAGTGTGGCCACGTGTCCTATGGCAAATTTTTAAAAATAAATAAGATTAAAGTTTCTAAAACTGAGACTCGAGCCCAGGGTGTAAGCAACTTCACCATCTCTCCATGAATGTCCCAAAGCTTGAGGGGTGACATTTGGGGACTTTAAGAACATTAGCCCACCCTACACTCACAGGCCACATTCTGCCCAACTCAGACGTTTACAGCTATTATTCTTATCTCTCAAGGGCACAGGAAACTTTAAACTGGCATCTTCCTTATTTTGGTCCAGTGGAGCATGCAAGTCCTTGGAAAGAGAAAACCCATAGATGAGGAAACTCAGCCTTAAAACGTTTAGTAGGGGGACTGGCAGGTGGCATAATGGTTCCATCACTGGACTCCCACATAGTCGACCTTGGTTCAAGTCCGGGACCTGGAGACTTAAAACTCACTCTTGGCATGTGTGCATGCATGCCCAATATCCCAAGAGAAGGATAGAAAAGGGATACAGGTGGCCATTCCCCCTAGGGGTGATTTCTCCCTTTCTGTCTTTGTTTCTCCAGCCAGCACACATGCCCTATAACAAAAATGTCTCAAAAGAAAAAAAAAAATGTTTAGTAGGAAGGTGTCCTGGTGGCATGCCAGACGTAAGGTCTCCCAGATCTCTGACTTGAAGAGGGACGTTTCCGCTCTGGACCTCAGTGTCCTGATCTGAAGGAAGGAGTCGTGGAGAGGCAGACCTCCAAATTGACGGTGGCAGAACCGCGTCTGAAATGCCAAACCCGGGGCTCCCAGTGCAGCCCGCAGTCCCAGGAGGGCCAGGAGAAGGCATGAGGTCCCAGCGCCCTTCTTTCTTCGCCGCCCGCAGACCAAGGAGTTCATCTTCTCGGAGCTGCTGGCCAACCTGTACTCCTGCGGGGACCAGAACACGCTGATGGAAGAGTCGGCGGAGCAGGCGCAGCGGCGCGACGAGATGCTGCGTATGTACCACGCGCTGAAGGAAGCGCTCAACATCATCGGCGACATCAACACGACCACCGTCAGCACGCCTATGCCCCCGCCCGTGGACGACTCCTGGCTGCAGGTGCAGAGCGTACCGGCCGGACGCAGGTACCAGGGCCGGCCCCCACGGCCCCAAAGCCCCCCAGCCCGGGGCCCGCGGGAGGAAGGCCGGGACCGGGCAGTGGCGCGCCCGCGTCGCCGGGACGGCTCCCATCTGGAGCGAGGGATCGAGTTTAGAGAGGGGTGGGGCTTGCTGCTGGGTGGGGCTTGCCGTGGAGCTGGCTGCGGGGTGGGAGGAGCTGGAACGTTGGCGCTGGGGAGGGCTAGGGGTTCGGCGTCACCTAAGGGTGCAGGGGGCGGGGCTTGCGTGCATGGGCGTGGCCGGCATGGGGCTGGGGCGGGTCTTCGGGCTGGGGTAGAGCTGCTCACCTCTTTCGTTTCCTTGTTCCCCGCTCCCTGCCGCCTGCAGGTGCCCCACTTCCAGCCCCACGCCGCAGCGCCGAGCCCCCGCCGTGCCCCCAGCCCGGCCCGGATCGCGGGGCCCTGCTCCTGGGCCTCCGCCTGCTGGGTCCGCCCTGGGGGGGGCGCCCCCCGTGCCCTCCAGGCCGGGGGCTTCCCCTGACCCCTTCGGTCCTCCCCCCCAGGTGCCCTCGCGCCCCAACCGCGCCCCGCCCGGGGTCCCCAGGTGAGTAGGGGACCAAATGCGGCGTGAGAGGCCGCGGGGCGGGCGTGGCCGGGAGGAGGAATGTGGGTCCGGATAGTAGAGAACCTGCCCTGGCAGCCAGAGCCAGCCCTCTGCATCCCTGTCACGGAGACTGAGGGTTCCAGAACCCCGGACCGTGTGGCTGAGGGCTGGTGGAGCCTGCCGCTTAGGGAGCGCTGAGTCCCGGAGGTGATCGTTTCTGGGGAGGGGCCTGTGGGGTCACCCACCTGCCCCCTTCTTTCCAGCACTTGCATGGCGCTTCCCTCTTTTCTCTCTTGGCGGCCACTTCCTTTCCCTCTCTATCACGCCTCCACTTTCCACTCGGTCCTTAACTCCTCTCCCAGCCTCTGGGAGCCTACCTCAGGTCTGAGGGTGAGCCCAGACCCTCTCTGGATGTGTGGATTTCCTTCAGAGACATTTAGGGCTTCCCTGATGCCACTTCCCTTCCCGACCCTTTCGACCCATCCGGGGGGGCGTCCCACCTCTGGCCCACAGAAATAGAGGCCAACGCCAGGACTGTGTGACCAACAGTGTGTGTGATGTGCGTGTGGGCGTGCACACGGGCGTGAGAGTGCGAGAGTGGCACCCAGGCACGGGGCTGGACAGGGGGCAGCGGGGGCCACAGGGCAGTCTGATGGCTTTTCCCTTCCTCCTGCTCTGGCCCACTAGCCTGGACCAGCATGGTGGGGGTGGGGAAGGGGCAGCAGTGGGCGAGGGCTGCCCTACTCCCAGAGCGTTCCAGGAAAAGGATCCTACTTCAGCCCTTGATGTTGCCTTCTTGATCTATGACTCTCTTCAAGGAAGTTCACCCTGGTATCAAACTCAGAATGCCCCGTTTCCAGGGGCCACGTCCACTGAGGAAGAACACATCAAACCAGTAGCATCTGTGGGCTTCCACATGGCTGGGGGTAGGGCTGAGTCCAGCCTCTATAAACCAGAATGAAGCCAGGAAGGACTTGCTCTGTGGTGGTCTGACCATCGAAGCCGACAGAGGAAAGGCAGGCAGCATGGTGTGGGGCAAGAACCCTGGACTGGGATTGCCAGGATGCTGGGTCATTAGGCACGTCACTGTCACTTTCCTTTCTGGGGCCTCAGTCTCCCTCCCAGCCTTTCCCCCAGTCGGTGAGGGGAATCAAGGGAGACCAAGGCTATGCGGGTGCCGCGGTAACCGCAGCTGTGGCTGTAGACACACTTTGCTAACTGCCAACGTGAGTTCAGACATGCCCAGATCTCTGCTGAGGTGTGACACTTGAGGACCGCAGACGTGGCACCTGCTCTAACTCCAGGCTCGCTAACACGTGGCAAACGTTAGGCAAGTCAGAGCCTTGCTCCGGGGCAGAGCAGTCTGGGAGAGCTGCTTCAAGACGCCTCACTGAAGTCAGGATTGAGAGAAGGCTCAGGTGTGAGGAATTGGGAGGGCTGTTGGGCAGGGGCTCAGTGTGGACAGAGGTTCAGTGTGGGATGCAGGAGGGGAGCCAGCGACCAGAGCAGAGATGCAGACAGGATGAGGAAGAGGTCTGCGGGTTGGGTGGGCAGGTTGAAGAACCCACAAAGTCTGCAGACGAGGTGGGCTAGTGGGTACTTGGTACTGTGGGTCAAAGGAAGCCATGGAGGTTCTTGGAAGGCAAAATGACAGCAGGACCCTAGAAAGCAAGCCCTGGCCCTTATGGAGCAGTGCAGGTGGCCCTCTGAGCCGCCAGGCACGAGTGTGCGGGAGCTGGTGCAAATGCCTCTGTGTGCAGGCGAGCTTCTGTGTTGTGAATCAGCCCACGCGTGTGCTTCAGTGTGCTGAGTGGCTGCATGCCCCAGATCCATGCTGCCTGCGCCAGCCAGTGAGGGTGCTGGGCACAGGGAGGGGGGAGGGAGTGTATGTGTGCCGTTTGTGGGCATGTGTGTTAGTGTGTGCATGCGGGGCCGTGGGGCCTCCCAGCATGTGTGTGCACGCCCGGGCGTGTGCGTGTGCGTGTCCCCTAGCCCCAGGCCTGCCCACCCGTGCGTGTGAACTGCCATGTTGATTTCGTGCTGTCTTTCAGAATCACTATCAGTGACCCCTGAGGAGCGTCAGCCACGGTAGGTACATGCCTCTCCGCCCGCTGCATGAACGGTGTGTCTGCCCCCTGCTGCACCAGCTCCACACTGGGGTGTACCTGAGACCTCAGAGCCAGGCCCCCTCCCTCTCCTTCTGCAGCTCCAGACTTCCTCTT